TTTACGGGTTTAAGTCAGTGAGAGCTATGTACAGATGGGGTGGTGCATCATATATAAGTGAATGTAGTGGAGGTTGGTTCAGTGAGGTCTAGGTTCTCCATGGACTCTGAAGCGGTACAGGCAGGTGTATTCGGGGTGACCCCAGTTGGACAACACCCTCACTTCGATTATCTGGAACGTCTTGTCATTCTCCTCCTGAGGGGAAAAAAGTGGAAGATTTCAGGAACTGCTGACAAACACTGAGGTGATTATTATTACTATTTTTACATTTCTAATCATGTTAAGAAGTGCCTCTAAAGTTACCATAACCGGGAAGATCTGCAGTGACTCCCCATCGTCCTGGTATGTGTAGTGTCCCAGGAGCTTTCCCTCTTCTTGGTACTCATCATCTAGACCCTGAACACAAACAAGCAGCCTGTGATCACCTGGGATGTTTGCTTTAGAGTCGAAGGTGTCTCTACATGGTTTTTGTTGGTGTGTTTCTTACAAAGACGGTGAAGTTGCGTGGGGCGCTGGTGATGTTTCCAGTTGGGGAGAGGGTCTTGGGGATGTGCTCCACAGCAAAGGATGTGGGCAGGATCCTCAGGGACAGCCGGATCACCAGATAGCCCTGAGAGCCTTTAAATGCCCAGCAGTTTCCAGGATACACATCAGGCTAGTGGAGGAGTGAGAGAGACTGGCTTTTAGATCAGCAGATTCTATCTATTTACTGGTTATATTTGGTGCAACGCAACTTTATTCAGCTCATGGCGAGGCTCACCTGAATGACAACACGTGGAGACTGGGAGAAGTACCAGAGTGGCAGGCCAAACAGACTCATGAGGGCCGTCTTGGTTTCATAGGTCTCAGAGCAGCGGGTACTGAGGATGCTGCCACCTTAACACACACACACACACACACACACACACACACACAATCAGAAATTATACTAAACCGGAAGCTTTCGTTCTCAAGTCCACAAAAAAAATCATTAATATTAAAATACACCATACACAGTGCTGTGAAAAACCTAAACCTTTCCAAACCTTACTGTCAGTTCCTAACAGTTTTTTAGACAGCGTGGAGCTTATTGCAATTAATATTGTACTTTTAAAACAATGTCTTGCTACTTTGCTTTAAGGCAAACTAGTGGTGGCGGTAACAATTATTTCAGACATGCCTGAGCTCATTTATGGAACTGATCACAATTAATAGGTTTAATTAATTAATATACTGGCATGTTGCAATCCTGGGTAAAAAAAAGGAGATGCCAGTCATGCACATTAAGGAGGCAATGTGTGAGGAAAACCTGCTCTTCTTGTATGGCGAGACAACAGGATGAATTTATTGCAGTAATCACCAGCAAACTGTGATTCTCTCTGCAAACTAGTTGCCCAGGGGAACTCTCCAACCACTGATGTTACGTGAACTTTAAATCTTTGCACAGTGTAAGAGCACTATAGTTAAAGTTGAAGACTGCGACTCAGTCTTGGCAATACCGCTTTTAACAGTTACACTTTACTTACTTTTAACATCAACACAACACCAGGACTGCTTTTACTGATCGCCATTACTTCTATGCATCTAGAGCATTACAATTAAATATTGTGCATTTTTCTTCTATGAAAGTGTTACAATGTTTCAGTGCACACACACGCTGAAGTCACCGGCCCATATAGGTCAACACTCTGCTTAGTGGCACATTTCACAATGGAGATTTTGGCATTAATACCCTGGTGTCCTTGAGCTCGCTAATGCCTGCACTCGTATTGCATAAGAGACGTGTAGCAATTGAATATAATGTGATTTATGCAGCATTCAGATTTTACAGTGTACTTTACCTTGCAACCTAAAGTTTTTATAAGAGTAGTCATGTACCAAACATTAGTTTGTTGATACATTACTGCACAGACGTGAGTTATGTAATAACCAGCCTGATAAGCCGCACTGGCTTAGCTACTGACTTGTGTAAAGGATGGAAAGATTTCCTCTTTCTTACCTCCAGACTCCAGGGCATAGTCCACCTGGCCTGTCCGATCCTGGGAGTAGAGCTTCAGAGCATTCTGCACAATCAGCTTCACTTGCTAATAAGAAGCAGAGATAAAAATGACATGTGAGCCTAAAAAAACAAAACAAAAAACCATTGCAAAGTAATAGTCTTCAAGACTGAACTCAACTAGGATTATGTAAATGCAACTGATGATGCTGATGGTAAGTGTGCACACATTACCTCTTCTGTCAGTCCCTCGGCAGCAGAAGCGTGCCGGACAGTTCCGGTTACTGTCTGAACAATGCTCTTGGCTCTGGACTCAGCCTCAACCAC